AACAGAAGTCTAATTCGAAATCTCTAATTATAAATAGCGAAATACTTACCCATCACAATCGGTAGGCGTGAACGTATTTGCTACAATTTGAGTAGTCATTGTCATGGAAATGTCCAAAGATTTTTGTTTTAAAAATGTGAATTTGTGGGACTATGTAATATATTTTCCATCATGAGAAAATGTGTGGTGGATATATTATTGTAATTTTTTACAAATCGTCATAATATGTTGATAAAACTTTAATCAATACATATTGCATCAAACAACAATAACAATAACATATTCAATGTAATTTTATAAATAAGATTAAAATAAATAGGATATATACATATTTTATCTCTACCTTATAAATATCGACGAAATTCTTATTATTAAAATGCCCTTATAATTAAAGCTTAATAGAACAAAATTGTGGTCCAAAATTTTGAAATGGTCCAATTTTGTAAGGCCTAGATAAAAATGCCGAGCTCATAACATAATATCTAGTCCTTTATATTCTCACCGACTTTAAGATTTGTCTTTCTATTTGATTAGCATTTTATTTTTATGTATTTATTAATTAGAATTATACACATTATTATCAATTAAAACATGTTATGATTTACGATTTATTGAGATTAACTTGTATAATTAAAAAATATGACATATTTTAAATATTTAACTTATAATGTACATTTGAGAATTTATATACACTAAAATCATTCAAATTTTGAACAAAAAATATGTACTAATATATTATTTGACTCTTTATCATGCAATAATAAGATGCTCAATTGAAATAATTAAGTCATAATTTAAATATTTAAATAATAAATACGGATAAATTTAAGAGACCGTCAATATATTAAATTTTTTAATTTCTAATAAAGTGTATGGTGGGTTTGATGATAAATATAATGAATTGTGGTATATATTCAAAGTAAGAGAAAAGACGTTTAAAGTGTGAAGGAATATCGTAAAGGCATGATACATTTAATGATTGGTCTGTCTTTATTTCTCCATTTTTATTCGATACTTATAGTAAGTTCGATTAAATTCATATTTATATATATAAGCATTACTTTTGGGCGCGATACTTTTAGCAGAATTTTCATCATTTTCAGTTTTTGGAGACTTAAATCCGAGATTTTCAATTAAGAGTTGATATATTTTAAACCACCTCACAATAATACATATTAATTTTAATGATCAGTCTATTAGTTACTTGTCCTATTAAGTATCATGTACTGCATTCATTTTATTATATTAATTATAAATAATTTCAAATTATTATTTGTCAATTTATAAAATTAAGACAATATTTTTATTTTACCTTTATATTTTATTCATTTTAAAAGTGTAAAATAAGTTTAGAAAATTCTAAAAATTAATAATTAAGATAATAAATTAATAAAATTATTCTTTTTACGAAAGAATATATATATTCAACGTACATAATTGACTTTTTGTGCTTTAACATATTCCCCTACAAAGGTATTAGCTACTACTCATCTAAATGGAACATGGCATCTAGAGTATTACTTAATTTCATTTTTTTAATGATTTTATGCAAGGACGGAGTATATTTACGGATTCACTCGAATTTAATAAGTTTAAATATATATTAATTTAGAATCTAATAATTTAAATAAAAATAATAATTAATAACATATAAGAAACAATTTTTCTATCCTATATAAATAGAAATAAGATCGGAATACACATTTACATTTTTGCTAGACTCGAGTTATAAGATTACACTAAAGCTATTATCTAAAATTTACTCTTAAAAACTTACCAACTTTCTAAAAGAATATTGTTAATTTCTAAACCAAACATAGATTCTATTAACTAATTATTGTTTCACCTAATATATACATATTTCCACCGTCCAATTTATTAGTTATATTGTTCCTACCTTTTTCTAATTAGCACAAATGAACGATAGATTAATTAATGCACAAAGGTGGCTAGATATTATGGGTTCATTTTTTTATATTTATTAAAAGCAATGTAGTGGTATGATTTCTTAATAATTGAACTTATTATATAATCTTCTCAAACAAAATACAATTTTTTTTTAAAAAAAATCTTAATTAATTTTTTGTATTACATATGTTGTTGCTATTGGCCGGCTAATTAAGGATAAGAATATATTCCTGAATTAAGTAATTTATTATTGAAACAATAAATAAATAAATAGTTCGTTCCCTTTCATAGATAAATCTCTTCTTTCAACTTGTTTAGCAATTTAAATAAATAAAACATGTAGTTGTTGTTAGATATAAACAATTATGGACTATGTCCAATGTTTTACAGTCCAATATTATTATATTTATCTTAATTTAAATTTTTTTAGTATGTTAGTAAAATTTACTATAATTTCATGCACTATCTATGTCTAAGTGACAAAATAAAAATAAAAATCGTACAGTCATTTCTTATGATTTCAACGGTTTTTAGAGTAAAAACTTATTCGATATTTTCACCATATCACATCATTTATTAGCTATATGGTGAAGCTAATTTCTTACCCGGGGTCAATTATTCATTTTGCGGCTTTACTATTCTGGATTTCTGCAGAAAAGTTTCACATTAGGAAAAAACACTCTTTATTAATGGCGGTGCTAGAATTTTTATTAAGAAGGTAGAAAATATGAAAATTAAACATACGAAAAAGTCAAAGAGGGTTCAACATCTATTATATATGCATAAAAGAATAATTTTAATCATATATAAATAATATAACTTTCTGTCGAATGAGGTCCGAATGAATTTTCTTGTCCTTATCTAGCTTTGCGCCAACTCTCTATTAAAAATAATTTTATATTTAGAGTTCGAACTCGAAACAATGGAGAAATACTTATTGTTCTAGTGGCACAACCTTTGGTGGTGTGATAAAATAATATTCCACATTTACCTATGCCTAATATCTAGGTTTATTTTTTTCCCCAATGTAAAGTTGCTTGGTGGCCCTATATTAGTTGTTAATAGAAAATATTTAGGTAAACATCATATACTTACCTACTCAAATTCCAAAATTGCCCTTGACTTCCTTCTCTCTAAAATTCCATATTAATTATTAAAGTATTTAGGTAAAAAAAACTGAAATAAACTTTAAAATTCTTATCTAGTGTATAATAATGATAATGCATTCACCTAACTAACTAATCATATCTTATTTCCACAAGTGTTGAAATAAAAAAAACACTACTTCTAATGATGGAATTCCAATTGTCTATATTATAGCAAGAAGACCAAATTTATTCTTTAAATAATTTTTTTTTCAATATTCAATATCCGCATCAAAATTTGATCATCAAATTCACAACAAGATTCATTTTCTGGGGGAGACTCCTATAATTTTTTTAAAAGGCTCGAATCCGAAATTTCTAATTAAGAGGAGAAGAAATTCCAATCATTTCATCACCCAAATAATATCCAACTTTGTTATTATTTTATTCTAAAATAAGTGTGAATACATTTTAATCAAGTGCTTATCAAAGAGAGAAAAAAAACTCTTTTAATAGCCTTAATTTTTTATTACTATATATATTATTATTATCTTTCAAATGTGGGGTCTAGTGTCATTTCAACAGCCACAATTAGGCAGGTTCTGTTAAAAATATTTTTGTTACATAATGGGATGTTAGTATGAAAAACAGTGGACTAGAATTTAGCTGTGACATGGTTTAATTTTTTAATAATTAAATTAAACAAAATCATATTATCCAACTAGTCATTATAAATACTAATTATATAGGTAAGTGGAACACTAAATACATTTAAGCTAGGTTGTTCGTATTTTTCAAAATATCGATAAATGTATGTTGAATTCTTCAAAAATATGTTATTTTCAAATGCGATAGCATTTTCAAAGAGCTTGAATAACATAAAGTTTATTTGCAAATTACAGCACACATAAATAAAGGTTAAACATAATTAGCATTCTAAACTTTAGTAGGGTTTCCACTTAAGTTTAATCCTAATTAGTAAACTTCTAATAGGATTTAAGTCATTTATCATTTTGTTACAAATAAATAAAAAATGCTCTTAACCGTCTGATGACTTAATTTAGAAAGTTGTCAAACGAGTCCATATATGAATTGTGATGGAATGGTTTAGAATTTGATACATATCTTGGTAACCTTGTAAAATTAGTTATTGTACAAAAAATCCAGCATAAATACTACGGAAAAAAAAAGACAATCTAATATACTAAACTCCTGTTATTCACGAGATCTGAAGAAATGTCTGACCACAAAGTTTTATTGCATTTTTGTAAGAAATTATTTCCACAATTTAAAAGTGTACGGCTTAATTATATGACAACAACTTTATAAGTTACGTCACACTAAAATTATCAAAATAAAATAAAAAATTATTACACAATGGAGGGTTTACCCAGTGCGCACCCGAAGGGCGGAGGCTGTGGCAGAGGTTGTAGCGGCTGCGGGTTATCCTAGAGTTTCAAAAAAAAAAAAATCAAAAATTTAAAGACTTTTTGCAAGGGTATAAATGTCTTTATACATCCCTTGCGGTGGTTTATTATATATCAAGCTTGAAAATGACACGCTATTTATATTTCTTAGATTTCACAAGTAGTATTTTATAAGTTTTAATTAAAAAAAAAACATATCGTAATCTAATCGTTTTCTTGAAAATATTTTAACATAATATTTTCTTATACAAGTAAAAATTTCAAAAAACTTTTTATAATTTGTTGAATTCGTACACTATACTTTTCTATTCTTCTTGGGATTTGTCTCATTTTTTTTTTCCAATTTTCATATCATTTTTTCTTCAGACTTTTTCTCTTGTTGAGCAGAAGTCATCAGAAAAAGGCAAAAATCAGCAAGTTTGAAAAAAGGTGATTTTTTTAGTTCTTTTTCTGCTTCTGTTTTTTGTATGGTTATTGTTTATTTTTCTTTGAAATATAGTTTCATAGAGCTTAAAATTTGCTTCTTTTGTGTATTCTCGATTTTGTTATTCAACTATTTGTGTTGGTGTTTGTGGTGAAGAATTGAAGTCAACATTTTTGCAGCTTGGTGGAGAAAATAAGAAAAATGGGTTTATTCAGAAACTTTAGCAGGAATATCTGCAAAATTTTAAACATTATGTGATTTCTTTCTATCTATTCGGACCTTGGTGGATAGAGTTAGCAGATAATTGTTGCTGGTGGGGTGTCAGATATGTGGTGAATTAGTGGAGGTGTGGGAAAGCTGAGCTAGACACCATGTCATAGAAAAGAGAGAAAACAATATCTGCAAAATTTTGTATTACTTTTCATTTGTCTTGGCCTTGGTGGACAGAGTTACGTGGTACTTGATGCTGATGGGAGGTGTTGGGTATTCCGTGAATTAGTTGAGGTTTGTGAAAGCTGGTTTGGACACTAGGGTCATAAAAAAGAAGAAAAATATGCAAATTTTTGTATGAATTAATGTGTTTGTTTTCATTCTCAATTGTATGTTGGATTGCTTCTGAGTAAAGGGTGTGGTTTTGTGATGTGAAATTATTTTCCAATTGTGTAGTCTTTCTCATATGTCCTAGCTCTGGTGGACAGAAATATGTATTAGCGGTTGTTGGTAGGAGGTGTTAGATATCCCATGAAATTAGTCCAGGTGTGCGGAAGCTGGGCTAGAATCTGCAAAATTTTGTATGAAATAATGTGTTCGTTTCGTTCTCAATTTGAAGTTGGATTGTTTCTGAGTAAAGGGTGGTTTGTGATGTGAGATTATTTTCGAATTGTGTTGTAGCTGTATTTAGGAGCTAAGAATGAGAGAGAGAGAGAGAGAGAGAGAGAGTTGAATTGAGTTTCTTGATGGAGCTGAGAATTGCAAAGAGATTGATTTGATTTTACATATTTCTTTCACAAAGATTTGATCTTTTCTGCCAATAAATGCTAAAAAGACAAAATGGGCATTTAGAATAAATTGTTTGAGCCTATGGGAATTAACTTAGTCATCGTGTTCTTAACCTTGAATGGTAAGATACTTGTAGAGGCGGAGCCAGGATCTGAAGTTGGGTTCGGGATTCTAGTCCTTTTAAATTACCGTGTTCTAAATTTGTATATATTCAATAGATTTCTTAAGACAAATACAAGGCTACATCTGAAACCGTAATCAAAAGTCTAGCTCTGCCCTCTGGATATTTGTATCGAATGTTTTCAGTTAGTACAATGTTAATATGTCATCAAGGAAACACATTTTAAGAGATATCATGGTGTTGGAAAATGCTTATTCTTCTTGTTTTCATGATTGAAGTCATTATGACTCGTTCGTGTAATATGGCAGTTGAGTCTAACTCAACCCCAAAAGATAGCTCATAAGGGAAGGATAGTCCAAGTCTATACAAGCAGACAATCAGTCCATTCTCCTACCAATGTGGGACTCTAACCCACTTAAAACAGATCTTACCCATTTCTTGGTGAATATTTCTTTACAGCCTTTGTTTTGGCATTTCATAAGATTGGATAACATCAATAGAGCCTACGAATCCTCAGCATTTCGATATTCTTTCACCATCACCTCTTTCATTTTGTGTGTGCTTATGCTTTTTTCCTCGAGGATGGAAGGATAGAGTGTTTTGTATACTGAGTAACCAATAATCTTTGATCTAGTAGGAGATTTGTCTCATTAATTTTGTTTGGAGTTCATATAAGAGATTAAGTTCAACTAACATCGGAAGGCAAACATGCAGTTTATGTTACTTAAGTTTATGGACAATTATTGCAAATACAGATGACCCATTGCTTAATAGGATAACCAACGGATTTTGCTGTTTAGCAAAAAATATTGTCCGTCGCTAATTCTTGTTTTATTAGTAGTGTCAGAGAATTCTAGAATGTTGTCTCAACATTTGTAAATTTTTTTTACACCTAACAGGGTAAATATTCTTTCGCTTGTAGTCAGTTAAATGTGTCTGTAGATTGATTTTGCTATACGTAGGTGTTAATTGTTGTGTTTTTCTATTTTCAGGTCAAAGCAGGGAAATTTGTTTTAAAGCCGGATGTGTGCTTTAGCTTATCTGAAATTCTTGGCCCCTTCCTATCCAGTATAAACTTGAAACTTTCTGGAATTATGCATGTCTGGTCTTGGGGCCATTGCCGACAATATTGAAAGAACGATTACTTTATCGGATAGGACAAAGTCACTTGATTCTTCATTAATTCATGACAATAACGACATTACCAAATTGACAAATGGTGAAGTTTGTCTTACTTCTGAATCCACCAACTTTAGAGTTGGGGAGCTCTTATTACCAAATGGGGAATCCTATTCTGGGTCCCTGCTGGGCAACATACCCGAAGGTTCTGGAAAGTATAGGTGGTCTGATGGTTGTCGGTATGTGGGTGAGTGGAGACATGGGATAACACATGGTCATGGGAAACTAGAATTTCCTTCTGGTGCTGTTTATGATGGTGAATTTTCAGGTGGTTATATGCATGGTGAGGGGACATATATTGGACCTGATAAAGTGATCTATAGGGGACGCTGGCGGTTTAACCTTAAACATGGTTTAGGATATCAAATGTATCCCAATGGGAATATTTTTGAAGGGTCCTGGATGCAGGGAACCCCTGAAGGACCAGGTAAGTATACATGGGCTAATGGGAATGTCTACTTTGGAAACATGAAAGGAGGGAAAATATCAGGGAAAGGAACTCTCACTTGGATTAACGGAGATTCATATGAAGGGAACTGGTTAAATGGTGCAATGCATGGCGTCGGTATGTATACATGGAGTGATGGTAGCTGTTATATTGGTACATGGACACATAGTCTAAAGGATGGAAAAGGAACATTTTATCCTAGTGGTAGCAGGCTTACGGCTGGTCAAGAATTGTACCTCAATGCATTGAGAAAACGAGGGTTACTGCCAGATATGAGAAAACAAAGTCAAGTCTCCCATATCCATCATGCCGCTTCAGTTGATATGGGAAGTGTCAAAGTCAGTGGTAAACTTCCAGAGAGGAACCTGTTAAATTTCGGGCAGTCACGACCTACAAATGTTTCTCTGGAAAGACGATGGAGTCTTGAAGTAGCCATTGAGAAAGTTATTGGACATAATTTAGATGGAGACATGGAGGATGCTATGAGTGCTCCAATTTTGGAAAGAGAGTACATGCAAGGCATCCTAATCAGTGAGGTTGTCTTAAATGAGCGTTTTTCACCACCATCTGGGAGAGCCAGAAGGAGGCAGAAGAGATTTGTAAGGGAATTAAAGAGACCAGGTGAAGCAATCATAAAGGGTCACAGGAGTTATGATTTAATGCTAAGTCTGCAGCTTGGGATCAGGTGCGCTACTTGTGGCTACTGATGACTTTATAGCCCGTGTTTGTTGGAATATGTTTAACTTGTTCTTTTTTCCCCAATTTTCTAACAGATTATTTCACTCATTGCTGGTCTTTCTTGGGTCTACATTTTTCATTGATTCACTTGGTTACCTGAACTTAATATTGTGTTATTTTTGTATAGATCATTCATACTATTTTGCTAGACTTGATGCATTTAGCAAGCTGCTTTTAGGTATGTTTTATTTTCTCTAGATAAAATGAAAAGAGAGAAGACTGGAAGACATTGGTATTCGAGTTTTTATGTGCATATAGAAGAATCGTAGAAAGTTTTCCTATAAGTCTTACTTTTCTTGTGTCACCATGCATAGTTTGAGGACGAGAGTGTCTCTGGATAGCATCATGGTACCAATAGTTGTGTATATATAAATGTGTTCAAAGGAAGAAATCATGAAATATCAATTGGATAATTCTGGTTCTTCTTGATGGCCAATTCAGATGTAAGTTTACAAAGTCTGACTTTTGAAGGGCGTAAAAAGTTAAAATAACCAAAAAATGAAACTTGGCAAATACTCTGGTGTTTACTATGCTAAAACTGTTATATTTAGAGATACCATACTAACAACTACAAATATATTATCGGGTTTTCAGAAGCAATACTGAGGCAGATAATCAATGACATTAATCTGAAGTTAGAAAATCCCTGGATCAAATGGAGCTAGTATCAACCTTACTAGTATCTTACACAACCTACTCTGAGGTTTTCTTGACTCCTGAAGTGGGAAGAGCATTGAATGAGGATCTCATGTGCAAATATGAACTCTTTTTTTCACATGATATTAATCACCGAGATAGTTTTAATTTTCTTCTCCCCATTCCTGCTCCTCCATCACTCTGAGATTGCTATAGAGGCTGTTCTACAATCCACTAAATATTTAACTTGGATGTAAAAAGATATGTTCGGTTAGGCACACAGAAATCCCTGGATATGTTGGCTTATTTAATTTGATATTTTATACTCAATTCATCATCCTTCTTGAGGGAGGCAAGCATTTGCAGCACGATTTTGTTGCTCCTTTTTATCATATATCAAACGTGTGACCAGTTGAAATGTGACCAGATACACTGTGGGGAAAATTACACCTATACAAAGACGAGATATACGAAATTCAGATTTTGGTCCGCGTGCTAGCTTTTGGATGTATTTTCCAAAAGGAGGATCTCAGTTGACACCTACACACCAGTCTGAAGATTTCAAGTGGAAAGATTATTGCCCAATGGTCTTCAGGTTGGTGGTTTGCTATCTTTTATCTAACAATGGTTGAAAAACTCTAAGCAGCTGCATGCATATTGGATTTTTTGGGGCTAGATGTGGTTTTCAATTAAGATTCATAATGCATGTCCTTTTTTTCTTTTTCTTTTTTTGCTTTTATTTGTTTATCTTCCTTAGATATCTCTATTGCATGTCAGATGTGTGAATGTCGCTTATTTTGTAGAAATAGATGTTCTTCTGTAGCAATAATGCTATTTCTTGGTGTTTTCTGAGGCATCTTCACTAACTTATCAGCATTTTGGATATGCTACACTCACATAGAAACTGAAATGGCTTCATGTTATCCTCTTTGCTGAAGCTGTATAATTAGAACCTCTATATGGTTTTATACTTTTATTCCGGTTATCATATTTGAGATTTTGTGGAGGCTTGTCTTGCGCTTGTGGAGGATTAATGGGGCATGCATGCCCGACCAAAGCAGCTCATGTCCCTCCTGCAGATGTTTTTCTTCTTCAAGTAGAGTAGCTTCCTTGCATCCCTCCCTAGATGCTTTTTCTTGTTACTGTTGATGTATTATTAGAAGTCAAAACTAGTTTGTTAGGCTTTCTGATTTTCTATGTGTACGTGTAGGAACTAAAATGGACTTATTTCTTGTAGGAATCTGAGGGAGATGTTTAAGATTGATGCTGCTGATTACATGATGTCAATTTGTGGAAATGATGCCCTTAGAGAGCTTTCTTCTCCTGGAAAAAGTGGCAGTGTATTTTTCCTGTCTCAGGATGACCGTTTCATGATTAAGACATTACGTAAATCTGAAGTTAAGGTGTGTAATCTTGACTTAAACCTATCGCTGTCACAAATCACTTTTATCAGAAATTTTTTATCTGTATAGCTGGGGAAAATAGAAAATGAAAAATCACAGTGATGCAATAAGTTGGAAAAGGAATGATATCTTAAGAAGTCGTTTTTTCTGTATGTGAAGTAAGTGAAATATCATCAAAGGCGCAACCAGAGGAATTAGGAAATCATTGATTCAAAAACAGTTTTTGGCTATCTTGATTGTTTCAGTGTAATTGTTTTGCTATCACCTAGATTTTATGGTTAGATGATAGCACAACATCCTCTTCTGGGCCATAAGTGATCTTCTGCACTTTGGGAAATTATGATTGTGAGAGCAGCAACATCATGTACTTCAATTTCTGTTGCTATTTGTTGTATCTTATACTTTGATTATCGTATTATTTTGATGTAGTTACTGTTCAGAATGTTTTGTTATGCTTTCTCTTTGGTTACTTCTTTTTGTGGACTGTTTTGGATTGTTTTTCCTTTAGTCGAGGGTCTATCGGAGACAACCTCTCTACCTCTGAGGTAGAGATAAGGTCTGACACTCTACCCTCCCAGATCTCACTTTGTGGGACTACACTGGGTATGTTGTTGTTGTAAAGCAGCAGCATCTGGCAGACAAAAGATCTTTTGCATAAACTTTGCATGTATAAAAAAGAGAAGCAGACAGGGCTATTCAAAATACTCTCTTGCTTAATATTACCTGTCTCATTACTTTGCTTAAAGTTCTTCCACATACCCCTTGAAATGCTTCTGACACGTCAAATTCATTCCAGTTGGGTTTCCCCCTTATTGTTGTAAGGCTTCATACTTGTGAAAGCTGCTCATTTTTTAACGTCAGCTAAGTCTTGGGAGATCCTTGCAGATGTCTCTTTTAAAGATTTGCCTGTTCAACTGTTTTATTGGAGTTCCTCTTACGTTTTAGTTAGGTATGAAAAAAGAGCATCATGACCATTGATCTCACATATAGGTTTTGCTGCGGATGCTTCCGAATTATCATCGCCATGTCAAGACATATGAGAATACTCTCATCACTAAATTTTTTGGACTTCACAGGATAAAACCTTCCAGTGGACAAAAGGTAATATACTTGTAGATTTTGATCTGCATATAATAAAAGTTAATTGTATTATTTCTATATACTTTTGTTAATATTGCGTTAAAAATGAAATAATATTAAAACAAAACTTATGTTATCTTGCAACATGCGAAAGCTGTTTGGGTTCTAATTACTCTACTATCTTTAATACTCCTGTTTTTCTTATTTTCTAGTTTAGTCCGTTTAAAAAAGAATGACTCTTTCCTTTTTTAGCAAATCTTTAATTTTAACTTTCCACATGACATTTTTAAGTTCATGAGATTAAAGGATATTTTGGTACATTCTACATATCTTTAGTTTAAGACCATAAGATTCAAGTCTTCTTTACTTTCTTAAACTCCAAGCCAAGTCAAAATCAAACAAACAAATTAAAAATGGAGGGAAGAATTAATTGTTATGGTAAATTCCACTTGCCAAATATTCCCCACCTAGGAGTGAACAGTGAACCTTGCCCACTAAGCTCCTGTCGTGACTTGAACTCCCTACCTCTTGGTTGAATATGGAGTGCTCTTGCCACTGGAAGAACCTCACATGTCTTGCACTACAATTCATATAGGTCTAGACATGTGTGATTTGGAAGGTTCGATTGAATGTTGATGTATCTCCCTCCATCCCAATAAAATAGATCTAATTTGACCTGCGTGGTTATAAGATAAAAATATTTTAATAGATTATTATAGTGAGTTTGATTTAGAAGGTCTGAAGGTGGGGGGTGTGTGTGGGGGGGGGGGAGGTACCTTGTCAAGTAAAAGTATAATTTTCCTTCAGGGAGGAAAACAAGTGTAACAAACACTTGTGACGTTTTATAAACATAAGACTAATAATTTTGTGATGCTCTTGCAGTTCCGCTTTGTAGTAATGGGAAATATGTTTTGTACGGAGTTGAGAATCCACCGAAGATTTGATCTTAAAGGTTCTTCACTAGGACGATCTGCTGACAAGGTTGAAATTGATGAGAACACTATACTTAAGGATCTAGATTTGAACTACTGCTTTTATCTAGAGCCTTCTTGGCGCGAAGCTTTATTAAAGTAAGTGACTTTTTATTAAACATTCTCATTTTCTCTAATGTACCTACATTTGTTACTTCTCAGTTGCTGTTCTAACTTAAGTGTGAAGTAAATATCCAAAAGTAAATAGTAAGTGGGTATTGATCCCTAGTCCTCTAGGTAAATAACTCAACATTCAACTAAGTGTACCATTTAGCCTTCTTGTAGCATGAGTACCAACAGATAATATTATACCAATTTTAGAAAATATATACATATATGACCTAGTTTTACGGAGAGATCGCAGGTTCATGTGTCTCATATTTTAGCCTAAAGATTTTCCCTTGATTGTAATGGTCTGGTGGAAGCGGTTGAAGTCATATGATGTACTTGCAAAGAAATGGTAGCCCTCCTTGTTCTGTTTCACTATATTTTTTGGTTGGTATGAAGAGTTTCAAGTATTTTTTTTCCAAGTTTCATAAGCTATGACAGTTTAAAGTTGTTGGTTCGTGGCGACATTTGTCTTTTGCACCTTGGAATTATGTGTTTCCGTAATTGAAAGCAACCTTAACTCTTTCTTTTAATGTTTGATGGTCAGCGAAATCACACTAGAGTTCTTTAAGATCTATGTAAATTGTTGAGGTAATAACTCGCTACCTGTTGGAATTTGTATAACCTATCTCATTTAAAAGTTTAAGTTGTTAGAGAGAGTACACTTATATTTACCTAATTATATCCAACATTTCGCTTCATGTGCGAGCGAGTTTCGTTTTTCATCGGCCAATCATGTGGAAATTCTTTTTTATATGGGTGGTGCCATGGTGGTGAGACTTGAAAGCAGGGCCTGTGTCTGCTAATACAATGTTGAAATATGTGACCATCTTATCTAAAAACTTAAGCTATTAGAGTGAGTACACTCTTACAGCTTAAGCTGTTGAAGTACGCTCTTATTTACTTGAATTATATCTTCAACACAACCGTTTGTTTGTACAGGCAGATCGAAATTGACAGTAAATTCTTGGAGGAAGAGAACATTATGGATTACAGCCTCTTGTTAGGTGTTCATTATAGAGCACCTCAACACCTACAATCTCTCATTTCGTGCAGTGGACGTACCACGGCAGATGGATTAGAAATTGTTGCAGAAGAAGGTTTGTCTCTGAATACAAAAAATATCCGCATCTCTATCAATTGGTTTGTCTTACTTTCCTTTTTAGTTTGTTTCAAGACGAATGTCTCTTTCCCTTTCTGTTAATTTCTTAATTTTAACTATTTCTTTGTGTTAACTATCCACATACATGTTTATAAGACCACAAAATTAACGGACATTTTGGTATATTATGTGTATCTTTAATTTAAGACCACAACATTCAGAAGTTTTATTTACTTTCTTAAATTCCGTGTCAAGTAAAAAACCAGACAAACAAATTGAAACGGAGGGAGTATTTTTTTAAGACTTAACACTAGGACAAAAGAAGTATGACCTGATAGCTGGTGGCTTTTCAGTTTATTGATGGTTCATAATAAAGTCGAATCTCGTCATATATCTGTATGTAGGTAAAGTAAGACACTTAAATTGAAACTCAGGGAGTATAATTTAGTAATCTCGTAAAAAAATACAGTTATATATATCTTATTCTTTTCTTGGCTTTATGACTTATAAACTATTGTATTTTGTTTTACTACTTCAGAGTCTCTGGAGGATGAAATATCACCCCAGGGCCTTGTTTTGGTCCCACGTGGAAGTGAGGATAGTGTCGTTGTGGGTCCTCATGTCAGAGGCAGCCGATTACGAGCGTCATCAGCTACTGGTGATGCGGAAGTGGACCTCCTCCTCCCTGGGACAGCAAGGTAATTTTTCGCTAGGCTTGACATTAGTATTTTCTTTAAGTTGTAGCCACCCTTGAAGTCACAGTGAGATACTGTGACGTATTACTCCCTCGTTTTAATATGTTTGTCTTACTTTCCGTTTTAGACCGTTTCTTAAAGAATGTCTTTCCTTTTTTGGCAACTTTTAATTCTAACATGCCATGTTTATGACCATAAGATTAAATGACATTTTGGTTCATTATATATGACATGTTAACCTTGATGACAAGACCTTTTAAGAGTTTCTTGCACTGAAAACACCAAACAGAAGAACACACATGACAATTGGGATTGGCGAAATCCAGCAACTTGTTTACACCTCCTTTCAATTGCTAGAAATGCTGCACAAAAGCCTCTGTGCCTTCGCGCATCTAGTCTTGCTCTCTTTTGTGCAACTTTGCTCACGAGTTCATGAAATGATATAAATATATATTTCAGAAGGAATGAAGCCTTTAGCTACCACCCTTGTATTATCTACAAAATTTTAGTTGATCTTTCATGTTAAGATTTTGGTGTTGACAATTGTACATGCCTAAATTCATCTCTTTGCGCGTCAAGCAGATTCCAGATTCAGCTTGGGGTGAATATGCCAGCGAGGGCGGAGTATATACCAAAAGAAGGTCAAACACAGGTGTTCCACGAAGTATATGACGTTGTGTTATACCTGGGGATAATTGACATATTGCAAGAATACAACATGAGCAAGAAGTTAGAACATGCATACAAATCGATTCAGTTTGATTCCGTTTCCATCTCTGCTGTTGACCCAACGTATTACTCGGAGAGGTTCTTAGAGTTCATTCGGAAGGTCTTCCCTACATATGCAGTAGCAACTTGAACAGTATCCCCAACCCCAATCCTTAGCTGTTACCATGGAAATTCGTCCGGTTCCTTAGCCATTACCATGGTATAGGGATACAGCTGCTGTTTGTAATTTATTGAAGAGTGTACAATGCGGATTATGGATATGTAGTTGATAGCAATGCATATCAGTTCTTCTTTACAAGTTGGATACACAACTTGGAAGTTTATAAAGATTTTTACGACGACTTCAAGTGAATATACAATAATAACTGTGTATTAGATCATAGTAGACGACAGTCTATAGATCAGCCCCTATTTCAAGCATAACCATGCGAATAGCATGCAATTAATGTGTTAAAAAGGATAGCTTAGGTACCTGCATATACACCTAAAACAGAGATTTTAGAAGTTGGCAACAAATTTGCTTTTAATCTAGTAGCTGAAAAGCAATAAGCTACTTTTAAAATGGTATTCTATTACATTCTCAAAAGCCTTTAAAGATTAACGAATTGGCCCAACAGATGCAACATTTTCTGGCAACATAAATGATTTTGTAAGGTTTAAATGGACAAAAACCACAAACTCAAAAATCACTACAAAAGACGAATTTAACTGATGTCGTCCATGCATTAAAGGTAGGTTCAATGACTTCGGTGCATCAACCCATGTTGGGTGGTGGAGGTGGTGGGCGCATTCCTTGGCCTTGCATCTGTTGACCTGGAAAACCTTGTGGAGGCATCATTGGAGGTCTCCCCATGTGTCCACCTGGAGTGAAATTAGCCATTGCTCCACCACCAACGGGAGGAGGTGGTGGGGCAGGTAAGTTACCTCCTGGTGGCATAGGTCTAGGTCCGTTACCCATAGGGGGAGGGGGTGGAGGCATTGATCCAGGGGCAGATGGTGGGCCTCTGGGTGGAGGATTTGGAGCTCCAGGAGGTAGACCTTGTGGTGGTGGTGGAGGTAGAGGCCTGGATGAGGCACCAGGTGCTGACAACCCGTTGTCTGTAGGAGCGGTTGGTGGTTTGTTAGTCTCTGGTGGCTTAGTCTTGAAGTATAACTGCAACTGAAATTAATTCATCCCGAAGAGAGAGTAAGAGGCTAACCATGAAGAAATGAGTAAATTTCAGAAACCCTGCTGAGTAGTACAAGTTTGTAATTTAAGAAGTATGAAGACTCACAGTGAACATTTTCGAGTCTGGATCCCAATGCGAGAAAAACTTGGGAGTTGATTTGTCAATCTCAGTGCTTGGAACCTGCATAATGCAACAGAAACGATTCAATAATCAAACAACGAAAAGTAGGAACATATTATTAAAGTGGTCAAGATAATGTTCGACCATGAGAAAAGAATTACCTTAAATGAAATGATCTCATATGGTTCAGCAGCAAACAGAAGAAACTGATATCTTTTGTCAAATGGTTGGATTTTCTGTCCAAAGGGAAAAAGATACACAAGATTAATATCTAGTTAATCTTGGAAAGATATAAGATCTTTTATTTTTCCGACATGCAAAGTCTAGAAAAGGGGCACTTAAATAGCACTTTGTTAAATACAGTAGAACCACTCGAGAAAAGAATATTGGACATACAAACCTGCTCGAATGAGGACATGAATCGGTGCCTTGGCTTTGTGTTGTCTTCAATCTCAGGATATTCAATCTGCAACACTCACCGCCATCATGAAACTATTAACCAGTGCAACACTTAGATAAAGTAAGAAAAAGGGAAAACCAAGGGAATGGAAGGTAAACTTGGCTAGATCAAATTCACCATATACTTGTCTAGCATATGTAATGTGCCAAAAGTGCATTTCTTGCGATCTGCACTTTTTCCTTCTATCATGACACATGCTTTGAGTACGTTAGCAGAGGTTGGTGCATTATAGTAGCAGAAGATAATCGAAGTAACCTACAGTTAGACCAATTACTATTAAGGAACCTATAGTTAGTCAAACTATTAAACCATTTTCTTCCGTTATCACATTTTTAAATTACACATAATCTGGATGAAGTCCTTGTGCTGCCTTATTTTACTGTTTCATCATCATAGTTCATACAATAAATGAGAATCCATGCAGTGCATCCAGAGCATAGGACTTGGTCTCTTTGTTGTTACACTAGCCTCCAAGATTTTGAGACGCATGATAATTGCTTTTATTTTTCATATTTTATTTTTGGGGCAATGCAACATGCCAAAGTTTGTTACAAAGCTGTGTAACCCAGAGATGTGTTTTGTACATATTAGGTACACCTACCTTCTCAAATAACCCCAACAATAACCGCAGCCTGCCTATTGGTCTTTAACACAGACTTTTTTAGCAAAAACAATCACTTCAGTTTGATAAATTTCTACAGACTACCATTTCTCATATTCTTAGCCTAAATAATATGGTGGTTCCTTCTCAAAAATAATATGGTGGTTTGCAAGTGGGAATCGGTTAAACTCAAGTTTGCTTTGAACGGAAATAGTCAAATTCAAAATCTTGTACTTGTCAATCAGACAAAATGTAAGGCCATCTCCTAATATTAATTAGGTCAAATTCCTACAACAAATATATAATGTCAATATAAACGCAAGTACGCAACTATAGGAACCACCCATCCATCCAATCACATTAAAAAGGCGTGTTAAAAAATAGAAGCATGACAAGCGAAACAATAGTATTGCAGAATAGGGAAGGTTTGTTGATAACTGGGTATCCATTCGTGAACAACACTCGATGGGAAGGATAGGTAAAAGAAAGCCTAAATTACTTGAGTCGAACAACCATCTGGTTCAAGTGACGTAAAGTTTTTGAAGCCCGAATATTTTTTCAAATAGATAATCTATTAAAACCTCTAAATCATGGCTGAACAAATCGATGTAGGATTTCCCGACTGAAACATTTCTAAACATATCTAACAACAGCCCAAAACACTGAAATAGTGTTCTTTAACATATAGTAAACTAAAACTATTGCTTGCATAGTTGTTAACTTTTATTTGGATATACTAAAACCCACCAAACTCTCCCTAAAGCCCACCTACCTTCCCATGAGCCAAATAGTGGCTTTTCCCACTTCCCTCCCTGAAAGACTTGAACCCCCCAAAACCCATTGTTGGAGGTAGCTAGCCATTCCCACTAGGCTATCCTTTCCTTATCCCATTTTGAACTTTCAAATGATAGTTCTGTAGTTCTTCGCTTCGACAGTGAAAATGTTTACTTCCGGAACAAGTGAAAAATAACATTACACTATTCCCAAAGGTAGGGAAGTTCGGCCATTAGATGAACTACTTAGTATGAACCATCAACAGGAAACAATGATGACTACCAGACTTAAATTGACAGCAGACACATCATCAAATTGAAAGTGAACGACACAAAACAGTAAGTCTGACCTGGAATAAAAGAGATCTTTGTTTTGTTTCCGGATCAAATTGCTTGGTCACTCGGTAGCCAGGCCTACCAATTTTAACTGCAGTTCCAGGCCATAAGAAGTTAGCACAGAACACTCAAGAATCGAGGAAAATGGATAATCAATCATATCATCAAAAATTCAAAATCTAAAAACTTCTTAGCCTGAAAGATATTCAGAGTATGATGGATCTCATCCCCAATGTGTAAATGGACAAAATTGGATGTAATGGTTATACAGGATTCAAAAAACCAGCCCAACTAACTTAGGATTAAGGCATAATTGATTGATTGAATAGTTACAAGGTTCAATATTTTAAGGAACTTTGGTCAAGTATTGTTTCATAGAAGGTGAAATATTTTGTCTTCACTATTTTGGATAACTGAGGAAACTTGCCTCCACCTCAACTACTCTACTCTGCAAAACTCCATTCACCAAAGCTAGGCAGATCCAAACATGTCACCTAACTTATTTGGTTTCACAGGGATATGAACGACCAGAAGTTTCAAGGAAGTTTTGTAGAGCCCCTTGTCCTCACGTCCACTCCCATAGTCTCCTACGACCTTTGTTTAAACTTCTCCAACTCTTGGGTGCCAGAAGGCGAATTAATTTCTAAACATTCTTTCAACACAATCAAATCTTATGGTACATAATTCATTTTTCTTGATAAATATGGTGTTCGTCCAAGATGTGTGGCATACACATCAAGGCATGTATATCAAGACCTTATCACTTGGCGCCAAAAAACGAGCAATTGAGGGTCAACGCTGGCAGGTGGCATAGGCGTGCCAGACACATGAGGTGATTGGACGGTTACAAATCAAATGTTATCCTACTACCTTTCACGAACACATATATAGGGTAGCTAATAGCGTTGTCCATTAAAGCTCAAGGCTTACGCTGAAGGCAATGAACTTTGCCTTACTGAAAGTGAACCCTGGTCTCCACTGATTTGTCCTACTTCATTGACTACTAGGCCTCACAGTTACAGTGTAGAATTGTGGCTAAGGTTAGATAAACAATCGATACTGTTAAACCCTAAATCCTATCCCTAATCCAACAAAGTAATAATAACACTAAAATCTCTTAAATATCACCAAAATTAAGTCCCAAATTCAAATAACACAACTCATCAACCCGAAAAAAGCCGATTATTAAATCAAATCATACCGTTTCTTTTGAGAGTAACTTTGCGCTTATGAGGCTGAGGTTGAGCAGGAGCATCCTTAGCTTCACGAGCAGCTCTTTTAGCTAAATTAGTCTGATGCCGTTTTCCTTGAGTGTGAGCCAAGTAATTCCCTTCATTGTTGTGTAACGTCAAGCAAAGCTTACATTCATAGCTTCCGAGATGATTTCGCATGAAATAAGGATCTTTTGCGAGGTCTATGGTTTCTAAAGCTAACCGGCGCAACCGCTCACGGCGGTCGATTGCCTCGTTCTGGGCGGAGGCGGCGCCGCCGCTTCCCGGCTTCGAACCCCATTCTCTGTCCATTTCGTTCACTGAACTCGACTCGAAGAGCTACGGAATACAGATGATAGAGAAGTTGATATAGATAACCCGACCCGGTTACTTCAGATGGATCAGGTCGGATCAGTAAGCAATTCACATAGATTGGCCCAATATTTCAGTTCTATTTGTTCAATAAAATTCAGGATTTGCAATTGGACAATCACATAGATTTGGCCCAATAATTATTTAGGGAGGTGTTTGGTCTTGAAAATTCTGAATATTTGAAAAATATAATTTTTATTTTTAAAATTAAAATTGATATTTAAGAATTGGATCTGTATTTAGTCATAAACAGAAATTAGATTTTTTTTCTGATTTTTTCTGAATAATTATTGAGATTAACATAT